TACTATACTACTCTCTCTCTCTCTCTCTCTCTCTCTCTCTCTCTCTCTCTCTCTCTCTCTCGACCTAAATATAATATAGATATCATTAATTCTATTATTACATGATATTATCATTTGTTAGAGGGATACACATTTTGAAAACAAAACAAAACTTACAGATTTATATTTATTATTATCTTGCAGAGTATTGATTGATTTTATTAATAATAAGAATATAGTTTCTTAAAATTGAGCTAAGTGGAAATATGAAATATTCGCGATTTACGTACATCGTACATCGTTTTTTTTATTACTCATTCAACACGACAGAGATATTAAATTTTCTTTTGATTATCGCTTCTTCTAGAACTGCCAACCTGGACTTACGATGGCAGCTCGACGTACCAGGCCGACGGCGCCAACAGTGATATATTCCTTTACCCGGTGGCGATCTACAACGATCCCTTCCGTCGTGGTAACAACAAGCTCGTGCTCTGCGACACTTACAACAGCGACAAGACGCCGACGAAATCGAACAAGCGATACCGCGCGAACCAGGCAATGGAAATTATCAAGGAGCAGGAACCCTGGTTCGGTATCGAGCAGGAGTACACTCTTTTGGATTTCGACGGCAGGCCCCTCGGTTGGCCTAAGAATGGCTTCCCAGGCCCACAGGGCCCCTATTACTGCGGCGTCGGCGCCGACAAAGTGATCGGTCGCGAGATCGTCGAGGCCCACTACAGAGCTTGTCTCTACGCCGGTGTGAAACTAGCGGGGACCAACGCCGAGGTGATGCCCTCGCAATGGGAGTTCCAGGTGAGGCAATCGAAGCATATTTACACACAAATAGCCGTTTTACTTTCAGTTGCTTGATGATAAGAGATAAGAGGAATACGCGCGCGGCGTATTCCCTATAAACTCAACATCGATCTTTCTTCCGTAACAATCAGACGAGGTTAGAAAATTCTTAGTAAATTAAACCGCAACTGTAACTTAGACAATCAGAAATTAAATTTGACCGACGATTTAGGTTGTTTTTTTTTTTATGTTGTAACAAAAATTTATTTTCGGAACTTCGTTGGGATATTTGATTTGAATGTTAGATTTAGATTTACGGATAACTCGATAACGTGCGCGGAGATCGATTAATTATCGTTTTTTTTTTTTTTTTTTTTTTTTTTTTTTTTCATTACGGATCCAGATAGGACCGTGCACGGGCATCGACGCCGGTGACGATCTGTGGATCGCCCGATTCATTCTGCACCGCATCGCCGAGGAGTACGGCGTGATCGTGACCCTGGACCCGAAACCGGTGGACGGCTCGTGGAACGGCGCCGGTGCCCACACCAACTTCTCGACGAAGGCGATGCGCGGGGAGAACGGGATCGCCGAGATCGAGAAGGCGATCGACAAGCTGAGCAAGCAACACCTCAGGCACATCCAGGCGTACGATCCGCGCGGAGGGAAGGACAACGAGCGCAGGCTGACCGGCAAATGCGAGACCAGCAATATCCACGACTTCAGCGCCGGGGTGGCCAACCGCAACGTCAGCATCCGCATCCCGCGCGGCGTCGCCGAGGAGAAGAAGGGATACCTGGAGGACAGGAGGCCCAGCAGCAACTGCGACCCCTACTCCGTCTGCGACGCCCTGGTCCGCACCTGCGTGCTCAACGAGTAACAAGCAAAGTGTGTGCGAAAGACCACACCGGACACCGACACGCACACACACACACACACACACCCGCATACACCTGGAGCGTACAACTACCCGTAGAACTTAGAAATCCTTATATCCCCACTTGGAAACGGTGGAGTAACGTTAAAGCTTTACCTGTCGGAAAAAAAAATAATGCGAAGCATTCGACATCTTATTAAGCGTCGTAGTTACGAAACTACGCTTAACGCTTCAGGCCGTTAGAAAAACGAGAATTTCGCCATTTAACGATCGATAACGGGCAGGATTGCCGGAGAAGAATCGAAACTGATTGTGCAAAACTGATTCGATTCCTTTTCGCATATTACGAGAATAGAGAGCTTGTTGAAAGAGGGATAGCGAATCACTGACTATTTGAATATTGTCGATTTAACTCGGCCGTATTTCATAGTCAGGATATAAATGTTAAATAATTTTAAGATGAGTTTGTAATTATTGTAAGTGCGAGGTATATAAACGGTTGTTCAAGTTATCGTATTAAATATCCCTTCCTGAAGCTCGTCTTTTATAGATTTTATATATGCCATTTTAGAATGCAGCACGTAAGAAAAACAAAAAAAAAGGGAGAATGAAGAAGCCACGAGAGAATAAAATAAAACGCAATATATAAAAATAGTATAAAAAAAACGAATGAACAAAGGGAAGGTAACACACTAATCCTTACGTACGCACTGAGCTCCATGTCGTTGCGCGCGTGGAATATCGAATAAAATGAAGAAACAAAAACGAAGAAGCTTATTTTGCAAAAACTATAGAGGAATTCAACCATAAAACTTTAATTTCAATCGTTTTATCTTTTAATATATTTTGCAATGCCCAATTCTTTATCTAATATAGCTCGACCGTTGTTATGTTTAATTTTATGATCAATCGATATTATTACCGACAATTCTCGTTTTCGAATTCAGATTGAGATGTAAATTCAAATAGTGTTATTTAAATTGACAATGTTTTCAAGTTATCACGTTTTCAAAATATACGTGCAGTCGCTTATAAATTATGTTTAGAAACCTTACAATTATAAATTATGTACATATTTTATATATATATATATACACATTATAAGTGTACTGAATTAGTACCACTGAATTAGTAAGATGCTCAGAATATTAGTTATTATTTGACATAATGCCTTATTTGGCATAATATATATTTGTAGATATTACGGATCAAGGCGTTTACGTTATACTTTTGCGCATAATTTTATATTGCAGCTAAATATGTTGTAATTACTGTGCCTTAATCACAAATACTGTTTAAGAAAAAAAAAAATAAAAATCATGATGTCCTTACTTATTTGCCCAAACGAATAATGCATTATGAAAGAGGGAGCACGAATGTTTTTAATTAATGAAAAATTTTATACACTTAAAAATTTTTCATAACTATTCATTATCTTGTATTTAAAAATAATGTTAGTATAAAATAAAGTAGCAAAGAATCAAAACTTTTATAACAATCGCTTCATTACTAATTAAATTTTTATATTACATATTAACATTATGCATCAAGTGTTTTAATCAAATTTATTTTTATATTTGCAAGCATTATTTTTAAAAAATGTGCAGTAATTACAAGATTGACATAGATTACAAAAAAAATTTATTATCTCTTTTAGAAATAGAATTGTTGATATTCAAATATTTTGTCTTCAAAGGTTATAAAGTGATACAGTTATTTAATAAATACAGATTTATTAGACTCTTGCAATTAAGAATATATATTAAGTAAAAAAGAGTCATATCGATTTGAAATATACGTATGTGAAATTAAAAATGAGACGAACTTGAAAAGTAAAAAGGCGATCTTTGTGTGAATCGTGTTCTCGATTTAAGTTTTGACTACGAATACGGCTCGATAGTGCAGTCGCTTGACTAATTCTAAATTTCGTTTATTTATATTTGATATGAAAAAAAATCACGTTCAGTCATCAAATCAGTCATCAAATTCTAAGCTTCACTATTGTTTTACGCTAAATTATTCAATTTGTCATCCAACTCATTAGAGTTATACGCAAAAATCGTGTTTGATACAATTCATTAGGAAACAGACGTGATTTAAATACATGCGAAATCTAAGACGACAAAAAATAATTTAAGACTAAAGGATATTTTTCAAATATCAATGAGCATCCATCGAACTATAAGCGTTTTACTGAGAAACGCGCACGTTTTTATTACAGAATTAATAATCATGTACAGCACGTTCCATAGAGTTCGACAAAAATATCGATACTTTCAAACGAAGAACGTCCATTGACATCATCCAATGTTTGTTCTTCGTTATTCGAATTAGGTAAAAATCGTTATTATTCTCAAGAAAGCGTCTCTAACATCCATTTCTATCAATGTAGATTAATTTTAATCTCAGTTACTTTTTATTTTTTCCTAATTTTTAAACCAAGTTAAAAAATAAATTAAAATTAATTAAATTAAGTTACATTAGAAATATATTATTTTTTTTAGAAAATTAGAAAATTAGAACATTAAAAAAACATTTTTACAGTCAATAATAATTATTTTGCAATTTACATGTATTATATAATCCAAAAAATAAAAATAATATATATTAGGTAGCAAGACCCAGTTATGTAAAAATATTCTTATATTTCTTTGTTCTTATAATTCTCTTATATTTCTTGTTACTTATATTTCTACTATTAAATATTTTATCGATTTATATAAATATTAATGTTAATTTACATTGGTAGAAATGGACGTAAACGGGAAGAATTACGCGAGAGGAGCAGATATTAACAGCTTTTACAATCGCGGGTGTAAGACGGAAAGTCATTATTGATAAAATGTATAGTGCGAAAATAGTATATATAAGGACATATCCTTAAGGATATGCGAGGGATCAATAAAGGTGTGATCAACCGCAGGTGGATCAATTCGCGACTTGCCTTCTTGAGTCGCACGAGCAGTATGCCTAGCAAATATCTAGAAAGTTAGCGCAATTACTACGTTTAAGAGAGTTTATTATTTCGTATTTCGTAAGTTTAAGACGAGATTAGATTTAGAGAATTGGAAAAGGTGGACGCGGTGTCTCCGAAGAAAAGTGTGCTGAAGTGTGTTGCCAAAGCGAAAGCTGAAAATGCGATTAATTGAACTTGAAAGAATTATAAACGTATATATTATAACAATTGTTAAATAAAAGAAATTTTATCTTTCCACCGTCCTCCAAATTTATTAAATATGACGAGACTCGGAAGAACCGGGGCGTATAACAGTAAATAGAAGTTAAGCGATACGATCTCGTTTCTTCGTTTCTGAATAAGTTAATTCCGGATTCTTTCAACATTAAGATAATTCTTCTGCCGATACATACTCATTTCTCCTGAGACACTTCGTGTAAGGTATACATTAGTGTTCTTATGTCAATCCTCAAGAACGAATCCCCACATGTAAGCACAACGAGCATGCCTATGTTAATGATGTTTATTTAAGGATATCGATACCACGACAATAAAGTATATGGATATCCTACTCCGCGAAACAATGAATACGAATAATATCAATGGAAACGAAAATGTTAATTATAAACCTCAACTTCTTTTCAGTAATGAAGAGAGATTTTACAACGAAATATCAGCGAAACACTTTCAATTAGTCATATTAAGAATCATAATCATATTAAGAATTTCATTTTAAATATACTTCATAACACATGGTTATCATGTAATATTAAATAAGTTCAACTAAAAATAGTTGAATACTTAATTTAATTGAAGAATTAATTAAAATATTTCATTTATAAAAATTTATAAAAAATGCGGATTATAAGCGCGAGCTTAATGAAAGAATTATTTTGTTGTTATTATCTTCTTCACTATGCTCTGAGAGTCTTGCTAGTCTCCTTCGATCAGCTTTTTCATACATTATTATTATTATTATTACTATTATCATCAATGTTATTATTATTGTATGATGTATATATGAACATATAATCAATCTAATATTGTATATTTTCATATTTGTATAAAGATATTTTTTATGCTGACTTCACAGAAATATATTGTATACCATGACTCGTTAACAATTTTGTTAGCGATAATTACTAGTGGTCGTTGTTACAGTAATTATTGTTGTTATTATTGTCATTAATAATAATGAGAAGAGGAAGAAGTCTATCTTCTTTTTCTTAAGGATGCAATTCGATGATACTTTTTTTCTGCAAAAGATGGACGCATTCATAATTGTTACATTTAAAAAAAAGAAAATAAAAGAAAGAAAGAAATAAAAAATTCTATGAATTATGTTTCCTTTCGAGTTCTGCATTCGTTCGTTTCGCATGAATCAACAATGCTTTATTTGCATTTTCTATATTGAAAGATACAGAAAATGTAGCGTACAATCGTAATTATAAAAACAATTATGACAATATACACGTAATTACATTTTTATATATTTTTTCTTTTTTCTTACGAGTATCAGATAGAGATCTACGATGATTAAAGGAGAGGTAACTTCTGCACAAATTGTCGAAACCACATGTAACTTGTACAGGCGGACAGTGAATACCAAGTGAGTATGTAACTGAAATGTTCATTCCTTAAAGTTACTTTTGTTTGACCTCCGATCGGACCTTGGGGTGTACCGTACTCGGTCAATAATTCTATGTACACTGGCTCCGCTTCCGCTATCTTTGCCATCGCATTTAAATCTCTAGAATAAAATATTAAAACAAATATTTTAATTTGTAAATAAAAAAAAACATTTTTTTATAATCATCAAAATCTTTTTAGAATTTTTATGTTAATATAAATGAAGCATTATTTCCCAGTTTCCGTGGATCATTTAAATAGTTTGTGAATTTACATTCTTTTTACCTGTAATGCCATACGCCTTTCGCAGGAGTATTGTCAGGTATAAATGGAGGTCGCTTTTCAGACACTCTAATAATGCCGACAATTTCTACGGAGTCTGTAATCTTATTTTCCATTTTGAACGCTGAGCGATCACCTCTGGGAATCCATCCACGATTCACCATAATGGTCAAACTAGAATCAAGAAATCCTAAATAAACTACACAGTAAATAAAAAAATGTATTATAAAATATTATTTCATCTTTTTTATAATTTCTTTGCTGATCAGAAAATTAATAAAAATGAAATGTAATTACTCCCGATCTTCCAGTTTGAAAGGTGTAATTACGTAATATCCTGAACCTGCTTTACGAGAAAATATTCCACCACTCTTTTCACTAACAGCTTCTCCATTGAGAATAAGACTTCTAGGTCCTATCAAAAATTCTTTTTCATATAAAAATTTGCCCTTTACCTTCATACGATAGAATTCTTTATCTTTCAGTTCATTTAAGCTAAAAAAAATTTCCAACATATAATCAGCAGTGCTCATAACATAACACTTTAATATGGAGATCTTACTCGGATGGCAGATCAATTGGTTCTGCTGAAGTACGTTGTTTTAACTTATCTATTAGATCCAATTTCCATCTCCATCTCTTAATTTGCCATGTGCCAAGTGCAAAGGTAGCAATAGGTATACCCTAAAATATAGAAATTACATTGTATTATAAAAGTTAATTTAAAAATTCTAAAAAATTCTAACAAATTTAAAAAACTTAAATCCTTCAAACTTATTATATTTATAAAACATATATATTGCAGTTCTAATACATAGCAAAATTATTCTCTCCTTTACTCCATTTTTTAATTACAATACTAACTTAGAGTATAACTATAAATGAAAATTCTGTTTGTAACATTACTTGCCAACAAGCAATAACCATATAATCCAATTGGGTCTTCTACTTTTTTATATTTATTCGTCTCAAAAGCCTTTGGCCTCGTCATTTTGCTCTTGCATCTTGCCTGCATATTTACATTATCGAGTAACGACATGTGCGTCCCTCTATCAAGAGCACATTTTGCACCTCTTGAAGTTACAAAAATCTTCGCAGCTGTCAGATTCATTTTGGATTTTAAATTCTACAAGAAACTCTCCCTATGATTTCAATCATGAATGACTATCATAGTTACATGAACAGTTTCATTCGCAAGTGCTCATAATTCTTACATCGACAATAGGATACGATATCCAACAGAACAGCTGATGCTCCTTATAATAAAATGAAATATCACACAAACGTAATTCTCATTGCATATAGGCAAGACATTAACCAATCACAGATGATTATTTTTCGATAAGAAGAATTTACTGTCAAACCTGATAATGTATAGTATATGTTGTAGCGTGAACTATAGCTTTCCAGTATTGGCAGTGAAGAATTTTGGAGTACAATCAAAATTCTTTTACTAGGGACAACTTATCATTGAAAGTCCCTAGAACAAAGAAGCCATACAATTGTTTCTGAGAAAATTCTCTAGAATCACGGACTAGTGACAATTGCTTGTTGAGGTGTGGTAACGACTGCCGTTTATCCGGTCTTCTGTGGCATGGTTCTTTCGCTTCCGGAGTATCATGGTAAGTGAATAGTGATTGTTAGTTCATCGAGTAACGATCATATAAAATCATATGAACGACAATCGACTAGATCTTCCACGGATCCTCGGACTCCTATCGCGCGATATGTTCGCAGTTTTTGATAGCGCGGCTGCCTCGCACTGCGAATTGTCGCGAAACTTAACCTCATCGGTCGAACGTTTGTCAAACCACATGGTGCATTCGCCGTGGATTTCTTGGCGCGATTTCCTGGACGCGTGTCACGATCCCGTAACGGCGCGATTCGGTATAATATCCTCGTTCACTCGCGCAATAAACCATTTTTAAATTATGCTCGAATTCCCTTCAGGAAAGGAAACCTATATCAAGCTCATCGAATTCTACACAAATTCTTATTCTTAAGAAATTTTTAATTAATTCTTCGAATTCTTATTCTTCAATCTTAACTCGAACTCATTTAGCGAATTTAGCGAGTGTCATCAGCATGAAGGCTTCAACTCATTAAAATCTATACCTTTGCGTGAGATTCTTAATCACATTGTAATTCCGAGTAATGTGAATATATAGATGAAGTACTAATATTACGTACTAGAATATTATGTACTTGTACTCATATTTGAAAGCAAGGTTAAAATTATAAAAGCCAGTAATATATCATTCTTCTTTTAACAGCCGTTCCAAAGGTTTGTGCAGTCTGGCCGTGTGGCCTATGTGAGCGATGGTCCTTATCAGGGCAAACTGGTTACTATTGTTGATATCATCGACCAGAATCGGGTAGGAATAATGTTTTTCTTTATTAAATTCTCTTTTTATTCTTTATAGAAGAATTATAATAATAAGTTTATAATAGCTGCTCAAGTTTGATATGATAATAGTCATGAACATATAGTTATTTATATAAACTATAACTTTTATAAATTGAAAATATTGATATAATAATTGAATAATAATGAACAATAATTATTTATATAAACTATAACTTTTATAAATTGCAAATATTGAATATAGGTATGATCACTTTAATATATTAAATAAATTTGTAATAAAAATATCTTATATGTTTTAACATTTAAAAAATGATGAACCCGATAATTTGATAGGAAATGCCGACTGATTTTGGTGATGTCAATTTAATTCTGACGATATGATTGACTTCTATGGCACAAATTGTTAAGTTTTTCAGTTCTTAAGGTGATATTCCTTTTAGGTTCTAGTCGATGGTCCACTGACAAGTGTACCTCGTGGTGAGATGAGACTCAACCAGCTGCACTTGACAAAGTTCCGTATACGTTTTCCATTTTCTGGCTCCACTCGTGTCGTACGCAAAGCATGGGACGCGGCAAATATCAATGAACTGTGGAAACAGACAATGTGGGCTAGAAAAGTTGAAGCCAAAAAGAAGGTATTGCTAAAAAATTTAATTAATAATTATAACTTTCTATTAAATAATTAATGTATTTATTTGCTATGTTGCATACAATGTACATTTGTTTCTTGAAAAGAAAAGAAACATTAATTTTCAGAAAAAATTGCTTAAATGTATGATGAGCCAATTATTTTTGATAGGAATTGCCGACTGATTCTTTTGATGCAAATAGTAAATTCTGATGATAATTGTACATCTTTTAAAATAAAATTGGAGTATTTTTTTTTATATTTGCTGAAAATTCTTTTTCTGTTTTAGCGTGCGGAACTCAGTGACTTCGACCGCTTTAAGCTACGTAAAGCAAGGCAGATAAGAAATAAGTTGCGGACAAACGCGTTCAATAGATTAAGAAAGAAAACTAAAAAGGTTAAAGCTGGCGATGCAGCAAGCAAAAGTGTGAAAAAAGCTGAGAAAGAGTAACGACCTTGAATTAAATACAACATTATTTTATGAAGGTCTTATTATTTACCATTTTCCTTCTGCACAAAATAAAAATTAATAATTAAAATTTATTTATATGTTAACATCTAAATTTCATGAACAAAAAAATTATAAAGTTAAGATAAATAACATAAAAAATAAAACTACTGATTATCGGAATTTATTCTTTTCCGGGAAATCAAGCTTTTATATAATTCATAGAATATACTAATAAAAAATTTACTGATAATTTGTATTTACGTTTGCGATTATCGATGGTTGAGCAAATAACGAATCTTTTTTATCGATCATTGGTATTTTTACGAATTATTAAAATTTAAATTTTTTAATTTAAAAAAATTATTAACTTAATATGTCAATTTCTAAGAATATAATGTGATAAAAGATGATATTAAGTTTAATAAGTACATTTAAAAAAATAAGTTTTTAGATAAAATATAAACTTGATAGTCGTGAAAAAACATATTTTATTTAATCTTGACAACTTTCTTAAACGTTTGTTTTTTTTTGAGTTTTTATTATTGAGATATTGATTTATGTATAGATTAATTTTATCTAAGCATTAGCAGAAATAGAATATTATTATCATTATTCGAATAAATATGAAAATTTTCAACGTTATATGAAAAACATGATGGGTTTCCAAACAGGAGAAAGACTCAGATATTGAACAAGTAGAAAACAATTAGCGATTAATATTTATTTCTAAAACAAGTGTATCCTAAATTATTGTATCACGCTAAATTTGTATATATATATATATATATATATATATATATATATAAATTAATCATATGCCGGGTTTATGTACAGCATTAACACTTCGCGTTCCTTATCAAAAGTTCTAGCGTAACAACTGAAGGAGCTTTTCAGATAGTTTGTTTCTACTCTCGGCCGTCATGTCACACATGCAAGCGTGAAATAAAAGATGCAAATGCATCTTAAGTCGATTTAACTTGTAAATGATGTTTATAATCGTATTGTACTATTTGGGTGCGTTAATGGTGATTCGACATACTTATCATGCAAAATGATTCATGCCTCAATGATTCTTTCTTGCAAATGATAGTTAAACCATATAATTTCTTATGTAACGAAAAAAAAAAAACACGCTTCTTACGTATTGAGAGAGAAATTCGAACGTAAGCACGCCGCACGCCGGACCATCGTTAATGCACCGTGCAAATTACGCGCGAGGCGCGTATTTTATGTCGCAAATTAAAAAAAAAATCGCACATTTCGACATTTAACGTTAAAATCGCTGATGGCATCTCGCAGAACTGCCGAAAGACCTGCTAATTCTTTGTTTTCGATAAAAAATTATTTTTATATTATTTGTATTATTTGAGAAATTATATTCATGGGATTTTTCAATATTCTACATTGCACGATGTAGAAAAGGAAAAAAATAAAATAATTAGCGGAGCCAAGGTAACACCATCGACACGAGTTTTAGCGTTAACGAAGAGTCCTTCGACAAATCGCTGTCGACACGCGCAAACGCAAAGTTTGTCAAAGTTTCTGGTTTATCGTACAGAAATGATTCCACCGTCTCGCTCGTCTATTTCGCTCGAAAAAAATCTTTATGAATAACAGTGGAATAGACGAGTTGCAAAGTTCAGGTTTTAAAAGTCTGGCGGATCACGACTTCCGTTTCTGACGTCCATTCGAATTCCACAAAATCACAAAATCGCGTCTTCATCGCTCTCTTTTAAAGTCCTCTGTCACTCTTCTTTTTATATCAGAAATATTAATTACTAATTTCTCTACAATATATAATAGTAATATAAATAGCAACTTTTTTTTACAATGAAATTAATTATTCTTATGTGTTATAGCTGCGATTTATTCAACATTATATCTTTGCCCTTGAGAGAGAGAGGCTTTTTTTTATTGTTTTTATGATAGTGTATGAGTTATGATACAGATGGTTAACAAATCTGATAATAGATCGTTCGAAGTTTTCAACATCACGATATTGGAAAAGATGTTAATCTGGAAACTGAGACTAAAATAGAATTTAACAGTCAGCCAAAGTAATTAAAAGAAAATTAATATTGCATATGACTATTGCTCTCTTTCATACGTAAATCTTGGATTATACATACTTTCAAATCGCATGTCTTGAAAGATATTTAACGTCTAATTATTATTATTATAAAATATTGCTTTAAAAATACTTCAATCTCAATCGTTACAGTCTGCGACGCGGAATTATTATGCGTTCCAATGTTAGCGGAAACAACGTACGCGGAAAGACGGCAGCATCCGTTCGATGTTTCCGGTACGTCGCTCTAAATTACACACACCCTCGCAATAATATACAATAATAGGTATACAACGATAAAAAATACATATATGTAACGACGAAAGTATCACACACCCACATTGCAATGTGACTTTTCTTCTCAAACTCAAATATTCTTCTTTTGACAGGATTCGCCGATCCTTAATAGTCGTTAATCCTTAAAGGCAAGGAATTTATTAATTTTATTAACATTAAATTAAATTAATTAAACTAATTAATTTGTTACAAGTTAAATAAATTAAAAATTAAAACCACTTATTTGATAATTAAATAAATTAAATTACTTCAAATTCTGAGGAACTTAGAAAAGAGGCAAAAGTAAAGAAAAAAATTATTTCCATGTATCCGTCCGACATATAAAAATTGAAAAAGATGATGATCGCATGTGTATTTGCATGCGTACGCTCCTCCTCCTCCCCCCCCCGTCTCTCCCCCCCTCTCTCTCCCTCACCCGTCTTCACTTTTTCCCGCTTATTATCTTCTGAAATCGATGCGGATTTCGACAACATACACATTACCTTGTCCTCGATGTGAAATGCGATTACACTATACACTATAAGAGCCAAAAAGGTTTCGAAGGGTCAAAAATCCTCGTGAGTGAAAACGGCCGACTCTTCGCTCGTCCGGCCCTCAGTTATTCTTGCCGCTGTTCAGAGTGACGTCCAAAGGCTCGTCCATGCTCTGCGCGATATCCTGCTGATGATTGTTCGGCAAATGATGGAACAACGAGTGCCTGGACGCGGGGTGGTGGCCCTTCAGGGTGAGATCCATCTCGGCCTCCTGCGGCCGCTCTCTCGTCGCCAGGACGTCGCCAGGATGGTCCGCGGGACTCGCGCAGTTTCTGGGCGGTGTTCCGCATCGGCACTTGACCCTGTCGGGCGATTTGTCGCAAGATACCGAATATCTGCGAAAGACGGCAACGGCACCACGTCAGAGAGATCGGAAGCGGTATCGGGAAAACTGAACGAACGTTGTTCGACTTTAAACTCGACTTTAAACGGTATAACAATTTTCTACAGCAATAAAATAACAAAGAATAAAAATATTGAGAGATGAAATGATTTCAATTTTCTAGAAAATACTTGCAAAAGAAATCCGGTTAAAAAAAAAAAATGTGTAAAATTTAATTTTATTGCCAATCCGCGATAATTAATTCTCTTACTGCGATTTATTTTTTCGTGATAAGCAGTTATTGTTGGCTAAAAATTATGTGAGCAATTATGTTATTGGTTTAAATTTAATATCGATTGACGCGCGGTATATGACGCAGCGAAATACACGCCATTTTATTTATATTTTGCATGGATATTTCATTGATGCGCGTTTTATATGTGCTATCTAGAATGATATCCGCAAATATAATCAGATTTCAATGTTACAAGTATTTTATAACCAGTAATCAAGATGTTTGTTGAGTACAAATTAAAAATTTTTATTTTTATTTTTAACACTTGCTATGATATAGTTTGCAATGTTTTGTACAAATAAATTATGTATATTAATAATTAATATGCATTAATATGCATATTAATGTATGTATGAATAAACATAACTTTGGCAACAGTAAATTTTACTTGTCGATGATTAACTTTACTCGCTTGTATTATAACTGTGAAGTTATTATAATTTTTGTATTAAAATTTTCAAATATGCAATTAAAACAATTTTTTCTAAATTATTTTATATTACAATATAATTAAATTTACGAGTGTATTTCTGTTAGTACAAGCAGTATTGCAAAAATACAGAAACTTGAAACAGAAATATCTGTTAATTTATGTAAAATGTAATGTCTGTATAACTCAAATTTTACTTATTCCATTGCAAATTATACAACATAACATATTTTAATATTTTTTTTAATCTTTTTTAAATATTTTAAAAATGTAGAAAACAAGATAGAGTAACTTTCGTGCAAAGGAAATGTGGCTGGAAAAATATTATACGCGTAATAAAACGATGACTAAATTAACACAATTATTTATTAA